CTAATTCATCCATTGTTTCAGCAAATCTTATTTCATTTTCTTTACAACAGAGTAAAATTCCATTATGTATATGTACATTTTATTATCTACTCATCTGTTGATGGATATCTGGGTTGGTTTCATTCCTTGGCTGTTGTGAATAATGCAGCAATTAACATGGATATGCAAGTTTCTTGGTAGGATGTACAGTCCTGTATCTATATGCTTGGGAATGGTATAGTTGGGTCACACAGTAGCTCTATTTTTAAGTTTTTGAGGACCTTCCACACTGATTTCTCTAATGGCTATACTAATTTACACTCACAGGAGCAATGAATAAGGTTTTTCTTGCCCCACATCTTCAACAGCATTTGTCTGCTTTTTTTTTTTTTAAGAGCTGAGGATCCAACCCAGCTAGGCAAGCGCTCCACCACTGAGCTAAATCCCCAACCCCTTCAACAGCATTTGTTATCATTTGTTTTTGTGATGCTAGCTCTTCTAACTACAGTTATGGAGTCTCAAAGTAGTTTTAATGTACATGCCTTTGATGGCTAAGGATGTTGAAAACTTTTTAAAATACTGTGTTAGACAATTTTATGTCAACTTGACACAAGCCAAAGTCATCTGAGAGGAGGTAACCTCAATTAAGAAAGTGTCTCCCAGAATGGGAGGGTAAGGAGGAAGATACCATGATAGATGAGGACAGCATGGGAATAGGAAGAGGCAGGGTGCTGGGGAGGCTCTCAGGAATCCACAAGGTTGACCCCATCTTGATCTGCTGGCAGTGATCCAGAGGGTGCCTGGACCGGTCTACTCTGGTGACCAGTCTAGCAAATAACCTAGCTGTCATCATAGAGCCTTTGTCCAGTGACTGATGGAGGCAGACGCAGAGATCCACAGCCAGGTACCAGGCTGAGCTCTGGGAATCCGATTGATGAGAGGAGGGATTCTGCAGGCGAGGCACATCAAGATCATGATGGGAGGACGTGCAGAGATGACCGGCCACACTAGTGGAAGCCCATGAACTGTGGACTGGTGGCTGTGGAGCCCCCATGGGACTGGACTAGGTCCTCTGGATACAGAAGATAGTTGTTTGGCTCGAACTGTTTGGGGGGCACCCAGGTAGGGGGATCGGGATCCATCCCTGGTCTATGTGCAGGCTTCTGGGAATCCAGTGCCTGTGGTGTGATGCCTTGCACAGCCTTTGTGCAGTGGGAAGGAGCTTGTACCTGCCTAGGCTCAGTGTGCTGGGCTCTGCTGACTCCCCATGGGAGACCTCGATTTGGGGGATGTGGGGATATGGGGTGGCTCAGGAAAGAGGGCTGAGGGGTGGGGGAGGGAGGAGGGGGGATTTGTGGATGGTATGTGGAATGAGTAGAAATTTTCTTAATAAAGAAAAAAATTTCAAAGAAAATGTCTCCATAAGGTCAGGTTGTAGGCAAGTCTGAAAGGCATTTTCTTAATTAGTGATTGATAGGGGAGGGCCCAGCCCAATGTGGGTGGTGCCATCCCTGGGCTGGTGTTCTGCCCTGTATAAGAAAGTAAGCTGAGCAAGCTATGAAGAGCAAGCCAGTAAGCAGCACCCCTCTGTGGCCTCTGCATCAGCTCCTGTCCCCAAGTTCCTGTCCTGTTTGAGTTCCTGTCCTAACTTCCTTTGATGATGAACAGCAATATGGAAGTGTAAGTCAAATATATACCCTTTGTTTTTTGGTCACAGTGTTTCACTGCAACAACAGAAACCCTAACTAAAACACTGACTGACAACTGTGTCTATCTGTTTTTCTTTCTTTCCTTTCTTTTTTGAGAACTGTCCATTTCATTAGACTATTTCTTAATAGGCACTTTTGTGTTTGGAGAGTTTAACTTTTGCAGTTCTAGTTATATTCTAGATAGCAATCTTTTATCTAAAGTATAGGTGTGTGGTGGTTTGAAAGAAAATGGCTCCCATAGGGAGTGACAATAATATGAGGTGTGGCTTTGTTGGAGGAAGTGTGTCACTGTGGAAGTGGGCTTTGAGGTCTCTTGTAGCTGGAGAGCTTCTCTCCAGCTCCCGCCAAGCCCGGGCAGTCCTGCAGCCCACTTATAAAATAAACA